CTGAAAATTAGCATATAATTTTATTTTAATTTTGGAAATGCAGAAATACTGTAGTACTATTCCATAACTTTTGTTTGGCAGTCTTTGCCAGATAGAAAACCACAATAGGAATGAGAACATTTATTTAGAAAGACTGAGAATTTGGGAATAAAAGAATAACTTCACAAAAATGTGCAACATGAGAGAAAATAATTAAATATGAGGTGGGTAAATAAGACCTATAGGTAAATATGGTATGCCTGAATGAATGTAAATTCAGACAGAAAATTAATATACAGTACTGTAACAAGAGAAAATTTATAGCGAAGAATCCATGATAATTCAACTTAAATACAGTATATATATTTTTTTTTAATTAATACTTATTTTTGATAAGCTAGGTTTTTAAAATTTTACATTCTTCTAATCCATCAAAAAATTTATTATAATGTTAGCACTATAAAAAGCATGAGAATAAATCATTTTAATAAAATAAAATAAAAAGTGGGGGAAGGACACACAAATACACAGACTACTGTACATTCAAAAGTAGTGGCGTACTAAGGGGGGGCGGGGTCCGCCACGGGTGACAGCCAGAGGGCGGTGCCAAGAGGTTCATAAATAAATAAATATCTATCCTCTGTAACCTTTTTTTTTTTTTTTACTAAATCTAATTACAACTTACGAGTTATCAGTACGAAAATTTTGTCATTTAATTTAATTGCCCCTTCATCCATCTCATTTTCAAATTCACAGAACAAAGAAAACGTACAAATTAATCGAATGCACATGACATAACTGCTCCCCCGGCCCCACCTACCCTTACTTGCCAAATTGGCAACTCGCGCTTCTTAGCCTTCTTTATGGGCGGAGACATTATAGGAGGTTGACGTACGCTGTTGTCTTGTCCTGTGATGCTGCATGATTTTACTTTGATGATCTGATCCTTGACCTTGGGTAAGTATGATCGGTACCTCTTCTACTTTTTCATAGTAAAAACGTTAGAGTTACTGTAGATACGTGAGGTTTCTTTCCTATTGCTGGAAAAACTGCAAATGAGCTCACAAAGGATATCCCGAGTAATTTGGAGAGTGATGGACTGGACATTAACTTTTGCCGCTGCAACTATGGCTGGTATTCATGGAGGTGTTCAGAAGAAAATCAAAGAAAAAAATCCAAAGGTTTTGTTTGTGCCTTGTGCCAATCATTCCTTGAACCTTTGTGGGGTACACTCTTTTGGAACCAATCCTTTATGTGTAACATTCTTTTGAACTGTAGAGAAACTTTATTGCTTTTTTTCACTTTCAACTCACCGATGGGAAGTACCGAAAGAAAATATGAACCTGACTGTCAAAAGACTTTCTCAGACTAGATGGAGCGCACATCATGATGCTGTAAAGCCTCTCAAGAAACAATTTGAGTAGCTGATCATAGCCCTGGAAACATTGACGGATCAAAGAGAAAATGTTGACAAGAGGATCAGCTTTAGTTTTGCTTAAAGCTGTATGTGATTTTTATTTTTTGGGTTATCTTTTTTTTTTGGTGTGATGTACTGGAAGAAGTGAATCTCACACAGAAGTATTTGCAAACAGAAGGAATAAGTCTTGAAAAGTGCACTGTAAAGCTCAATTGTTTGGAATTGTTTCTTCGAGGTCAGCGGAATGAAATTGTAGAGAAAGCGATTCAATATGCAACTACACAATGTGAAGAAATGGGCATCTCCATGGAAACAAGAGGGAGGATGAGAAGAAAGAAAAAGATGCCAGGAGAGATGGCCAGGAGAGATGGCTAGGGATGCTGGACTGACAATGCAAGAGGAAATGAGGAGATCAATGTTTGAATGCTTAGATCGATTTAGTCTAGAATTGGATGCTCGTTCAGAGGCCATGGATAACATCTTGTCAATATTCGCAGCTATTCAGCCAAGCTACTTGCTTTCTGCAAAAGAACAACTTCAGGGGAGTATTTCAAATTCAAGCATGACCAAGATTTTTAATGAAATTTCTGATGAGGATGTCATGGTAGAAATTATGCGACTTCGCAGACACATGGAGGCTGCCAAAGTCATACCTGAAGAAACAAATAAATTGACAGTCTTCCAGTTCCTGAAGTTTATTATCAAATGGGACTTTTGTGAAACCTTGCCAAACTTGTCACTGTGTCTGACATTCTTTTTAACAATATTTGTGTGTTGCATCATGTGAAAGAAATTTCTCTAAACTGAAACTCAAGAATTATCTTCGTTCTAGCATGACTCAGGCAAGATTGAACAGCCTAGCTATGATTTCTATCAAAAATGAATGTTCCAAGACAGTTAATTTTGATGAAATAATTGGTGTTTGCTTAACCTAAGTCACAAACAATGAGGCTGTAAAACTAATATATATATATATATATATATATATATATATATATATATATATATATATATATATATATATATATATATTATATATATATATATATATATATATATATATATATATATATATATATATATATATATATATATATATATATATATATATATATATATATATATATATATATATATATATATATACAGTCAACCCTCACTTTATGCGGTTAATTCAACCCACAGGGTACCGCGGAAAGTGAGAAACGCGTAAAGTGAACAACATAACATATGGGATTAAATGAAATAGAGACCGGCTGACCCCCAAACTCCACTTTTTCCGACACAATACCTATGTTCTAGTAAAAATAACATCTTAATTTTATGATGGTACATGCACACAATTAATACTTAAGAGAAATAGAGAAATACAGTCGCCAAGTTAATGTCCATTCAAATAATGGACTCAACTCCCTCCCCCTCTTCTCACACTACACTCGCTGGCTCTTCCCTCTCTGAGAAATTTTTTGGGGGAAAACCACTAGATTTTAAGGTATAGTAATAAATAATACCTCAAACTAAAGTTAGGATAACATAATTGACATTGCTGGATTCCTTGTAAGACCAGGAATATTTTGAATATAAATGTCATATATTTTGCACAAAAGATAACATATTTACTCAGAGTAAACATTATATCTAAAAATTTTATGTCTAATGCAAAATATATGATGTTTATATTCAAAATGATCATCAAATTGTAAGAATTCCAGCAATGTAAATTATATTCTGGCCGGGTAATTTGTATGAATTTTATGAGCTAAAATAAAAATCTTCAGTTAACAAAAAAAAAAAATATTCTTCACACGGTAACAGATGGTCGGTCGCCGGTCCCTCCCTCCCCCCCACCCCCCACCAACCGTCCCTACTAGATAAATGTGTGGGAATACCAGACTGTTTACCTTTTTAGTAATAAATAATAAATCAGACTAAAGTTAGGATAACATAATTGACATTGCTGGATTCCTTGTAAGTTCAGGAATATTTTGAATATAAATGTCATATATTTTGCACAAAAGATAACATATTTACTCAAGAGTAAACATTATATCTAAAATTTGTATGTCTAATGCAAAATCTATGATGTTTATATTCAAAATGATCATCAAATTGTAAGAATTCCAGCAATGTAAATTATATTCTGGCCAGATAATTTGTATGAATTTTATGAGCTAAATAAAAAAATTATACTTCACCCGTGTAAAGTGGTACACCCACCGCGGAATGTGAGCATCCTGGGTTCTGGCAGGGCACCGCGTAAACGTGGAAACGCGGAATGTGGGACCGCGTAAAGTGAGGGTTGACTGTATATGAATGAAAGTATATGGCTTGTATCTCGTGGTTTCCTATGTTTTTAGAACAATCTAGTGCTATTGGTCAAGTTTCTGATAAAAGTGAGTTGAAGAAGGCTGTGCCCTTCTCATTGTGTAATACTTTATTTAATGTGTAACTTGTAGTTATATACATTATGGTTTCTGTACTTTGTATATTTGAATTACTTGTATGTGCTTTGTTGTATCGCGTAAATTTTTGAAATTAGGAAATACATTTGTTCATATATAATGTAGATTTCCTGAATATCATCCACATTTACAAACCTGCTTTTTATTTACTAATATTACACTTGATGTAGGCTACATTATACTTTAGTAAAAAAATAATCATAATTTTCCATATTAATAGAAGGAAACTAAAACATTTATAATATTTACTATGTATAATCCAAAATTCCTTAAAGTATTATTATTTTTTTATCATTTGTCTCAGTAGAGGAAGAGTAAGGGGGCAAAGGAATGCCCTGCCCTGGGTGCCCAGTACTCTAGGGACGATTGTGTATTTTACTTTTACTGTATATTTATTCATCTCTGGAAGGAAGGGGGTGCCAGTGGATAGGTCCGCCCCGGGTGCCAAATACTCTAGGAACGCCCCTGTTCAGAAGTATCTGTGCTTGGGATACCGGTGACTACTGCAGCTGCCAGATGTACCCTGAATAGGCTCAGCTCTTACGTATAGATTCTCTGCCCTTACACGTACGATCTTATTTAAAGAAACTGAATATTTTGGAAACATATTGTTCATACACTCACTTATGTAAAAATCCTGTAGGGTATAAGAACTTCATACACACATGCATTGCTAGGGAGAGAACAAAGGCCAATCAGTCAGGGGAGACTGCTCCATTACACAGTAAATTATAAGTTATTCAATACCTATCAGTGGCGTAGCTCGAGTGTGTGGCCATGAGTTTGCCCCCATGACCCTACAAAATACATATTGCACAGTGACTCACTCTTTATATATATATATATATATATATATATATATATATATATATATATATATATATATATATATATATATATATATATATATATATATATATATATATATATATATATATATATATATATATATATATATATATATATATATATATATATATATATATATATATATATATATATATATATATATATATATATATTAAATAGTTTGAAGAAAAGCCACCCCGATCAAAGTAGGGCTTTTGTCTGGGTTAGGGGGCTTTTGTCTGGGTGGCTTTGTCTGGGTGGCTTTCGGGGGGCTTTTGTCTGGGTGGCTTTTG